ATCGTGTCTATAACATTTCAAACGGTTGCGAATATAAAGTATTAAGATCTCCCTATCAACGGATCAACAAGAAGAACTGGATATTTTCTTATTTTACTATTTCCTTACGTTAACCAGCAATGTCTACTTTGAACAAATAGTGTAGAAGTGTAGACACATCACTTTCATCAATGAAACACACCATTAAATCTTGAACAGCTGCTCTCCACTGTTGCCCACTCTCACTTGACCAGGGGCTCTTCTCGTCTGTCACTAACCAAACAACAACCGGGTCTCTCTCGCTGCACCTTCGCATTACACTAACTTGGCTGCCACAACATCAAAAGATGTGTTTTTAAGGGGCAAGAATCAGTCTAGACCAGAACGAAAAAAGGATTAACATGAGAAATGTCTAGACTGAATAAAATGGAATTTTAATAAAAAAATTTCCTCAACTAGAATATTATAGATTGAGATTATGTGTTATTGAAAAGAGTCATAGATAGAAACTGGCATAACCTAATCCCGTAGAATTCACAGATCATTTGATTAATTTAGAGATCACGAAGTTCTCCCTTCATTAGGCAAATGCATATTCACTTAACAAGAACCTAAATATTCCTTAATTTTAATTTTACAAACCTAAAGCAAAGTAAGGAAGAGAAGTTTATTTTAAAGGAAAACCTATATTACTTGATTTTTACGCGGTTAGAAGGGTTTAAGAATTTAAAGCAATGTTTGCTCCAAAAAATGAAGTTGAGTAAGAAAAAAATGGTGCAATTTTTCATTGACCTCAATGTTACTTACATCAAATATTTGAAATATGTTTCATAAATCGTAAATTTACTAACAAGTAAACTATTCAAAATCCTAGGTTCTAAGTTAGCACTAAAATTTCCTAAGATGTACTCACCGTATAGCTTCAAGATATCACGGGCCATTTCCATCAAAGAGTCGTTATTGTGCTCTGGATGGAAAAATCTGAAATGGCACGGAATTTGTAAATGCGGATTTCCAGCCCTGGAAGTGGCTTGGAACCTTAGCCATTCTTCGGGATCAAGAGATCCGTCGCCATTCTTATCGGCTCGATCAAAAGAAACTCGTTCTGGGCCAGCAAGTGATGAGTCGTCTGAATTTTTTAGAGAATTTTTGTAGCAGTGAACTATGATCTCGAGAAAAAAATTATTTTAACTATTTACATCACTGTGATGCTGTAAATCCTAACTTCACCAATTTTTTGTCAAAATTTTAATTTGCACACTTACCATTGTTAATGATATTTTTATGATCATGTCCGTCATTTTGCGAGTCTTTTGATAAATAGTGTGGCTCGTATTCACTCCAAGAAACCTACAAAAACCTGCCTTCTTCCTGATATGAAGCATGGAAAGTTCAACTCCTACCTTTCCATCACCATTCATATCTACGATGTCGAAGTGAGTCCTTGCCTCCTCTATACCTTCCTCCAAATGCGCCCTAGTATTGTTTACTATTCGCTGTTCGAGTTCATCAAGCGATAAGAATCCATCTTTATTTATATCGGTCCTGCAAGAAGCGAATTGATCAGCTGAAATTCCCGGAAAGGGATCAACATACTCTTCAAACATCTTCTTTACCATAACCTTCAGTTCAGCGGAGTCCTTTGGATCTCCACCTAACAGTACCTAAATCCAGCATCCCTTACCATTAGGAATCCAATACAATTTCTTACCTCTTGTCGAAACTCCTTATTCAGTTCACCATCTCGCTCCAGTTGTACACCATCCAAATGGATAGGTCGTTTGACAGTTTCGCTATCATTCGGCGGTAAATTAATCTAAAGAACTTTTATGTTTCTATGTGAAATGATCATGTAGATGATATGGTTGCATAAGGTGTTTTGTTTTTACATACATCTATTTGTAGATTTACCTTGAAATGCAGTGTATGAGCTAGTACGATCTTCTACATTCTACATCATGAGTCAGGATTGATTGCAAACTTTTGAGAACAAGCCTTTCTATGCATATTGAAAAAATTGCTGGTTTGTGTAGGAAACTGTTATAAGATGCAGAGCTAACAGACACATGAAAAGTACCTATTTTTAGTACCTACCTATTTATCCCAGTCTTGTACCCTTACCCAAGCATTAAGATTTCATCGAAAAAACAGAAAAAGTTGTATTAAATAAGTGAATGAAAAATAATTAAATAGGAACCAGTCTTGGTTAGCTGATGTACTTTCTGAGTTGTTCAGTAAATGACTGAGTCGTTGAACAAATTTTCCCATCAAATTCACCGCATATGTCTTTTCGAACGACATCAAGATTCAGTCTTAGAAAAGAGCAGTTTTCAACTGAACGGCACATTACCTTTCATTAATTTGTTTTACATAAAGATCTCATTGACTGAAAATGATTTGCAAAGGGATCTTGCCATATGTCACAGTAACGGATCAGAGTAAAACTTCGCTTGAGACATCTTTGCAGGCAACCCCTCCCCTACTTGCCTTTCCCTTCTTTCTATCTTTCCCTCCCTCTCTCCCTTCAATCCCCCTCGCTCGCTCTCTCCCGTCAATAATTGCTTGTCCAAATGTCTCTGCTCAACTCTTTTTACGGAGAAGCGTAAGTATCCTTTGTCGCGTGGCTAGAAATTTTCAAATTTTGAAAGGGCGAAGTTGAAGCAATTTCACTCAGCAATTTGCGTTTGTTTAAATGATGGTAAAAAGTTAGCAGGTAATTTGTTGAATATGCTAAAGTTTCACGGGATTACAAGCAATATCACCATGTTAACGACTTGGAATTTTTAGATTCCTTATTGATTTTTCAGCTATTATATGTACCAAATATCCAGGGGAAGAGGGGGAAACAGAGGCATTTCACAACCCCCAAAGGCTGATTCATAAACATGTAAGGAGTGCCGCCCGATCCGTCCTCGGTAGTATAGTGGTGAGTATCCGCGCCTGTCACGTGCGAGACCCGGGTTCAATTCCCGGCCGGGGAGAACGTTTTGCATTTTCACATCCACATACTAGTAACGTTATTACCATAATCAATATGTCGTATTTTGTTAAAATGATACTTTGACTACCAATTGATTGATTTGAGGCGTTAATATTTAGATGCGATGTATAGAAGAAAAGCAAATAGAAGTAACACATAAATTATTCTTATTATTGAACTTCCTAACTCACCACATTTTCTGGTTCTCCTCTTACACCTGGTGGTAAACCGCCAACTTGACCCGCAACAGTGGCAAAACACAGTATGGTGAGCAACATGCTAAACATCTAATTTTGAAAATTACTGACAGCAAAAAACTCGAAAAATGGATAAGAAGGTCCTGGCAGTTGTTCCTCTATATAAACCCATCATAGCTTTCAAATAAGAGAACTTTATTGCTCTCAAGTTTCCAATAGCAAGAACTTCAAACAAATATGCACGAAATATGACTAAGCACTGACATTTGGAACAAAATCTTATATAGACGACTAGCACT